AATCGATGTTGGTACACCTACAATTGAAGAGATCAGTATGGTCATCAGACAAATGAAGGGCGACAAGTCAGTGGGACCAGACAACATTCCATCGGAGACAATAAAAGAAGACGTGGAAGCAACTGCGAAAATATTTCACATTCTCTTCAACAACATTTGGGATGAGGAACAAGTGCGATTATACTGGGAAGAGATATACCTCATCGAAATACAAAATAAAGGCGATTTCAACAAGAACTACAGAGGCATCATTCTTCTCTCAATACCAGGAAAAGTCTTGAAGAAGGTATTTGTAGAATCCTTTTTGAATGTTATTTTTTTTGGAAAATCCCTCCATGTTTATATATTTTTGTTATGACATGACGGACTTTTTCTGTTGACATTTTGGTACTATATATTTGATTCCGTTTTGAGATTTTATCATTGTATATTGATATTATTTCTATATATTGTACGTTTATTGAAATTTTTATGTTTGCTTCTGAACTGTACATATGTTGTTTAAATTTGAAATTTAATATGGCTACAGCCATATTTGGATTTGATACTGTTGCGGTTGGATCTAGCATCACTTATTCTTTTTGAACTTGGATACTCATCAGAGTAATTGGGACTTGGAAGTGTATCGAAAGTCAGGTATTGGTTTGTATTTCCATTTTAACATAATATAGACCACTTTCTCCTAGAATTATTGTGTTCTGATATTGGACTAGGAGAAGGGTTGCGTTCGACTTACACTTACTGGAAACAAATTGAACTGTTACGGTAGAAAATCCATCTACAGTATTCTTAAACAGAATGAAGGACTTCGTAGATGCCCAACTTCGAGACCAACAGGCTGGACTTTGAAAGGATCGATCGTGTACCGACCGTATGTCAACACTACAAATCATTATGAAAAAATCAATCGAATTGAACGCATCATTGTACATCAACTTCATTGTCTACGAGAAAGCATTTGGTAGTGTGGACAGGAAAACACTATAGAGACTTGTTGACACTATGGCGCGCCTGAGAAGATAGTCACCATCATACGGAATTCTTAAGATGGATTGAACCGCAGAATCGGGTACGCACGACAGCTGAGAAACTCGTTTGAGGTGAAGACTGGTTTCAGGTAAGGTTGCTTACTCTCGCCCTTTCTCTCTCTCCTGGTGATCGACTGGATTAGAAAGAGGTCAATATCTGGAAGGGAAGCATGGTATCCAATGGCTGGCCAGGATACAGCTTGACGACCTACACTTCATAGATGATCTGACTCTACTATCGCACACACAACAACAAATGCAGGCGAAGACAACTAGTGTGGCAGCAGCTTCTGCAGCAGTAGGTCTCAACATACATAAAGGGAGAAGCAAGACTCTACGACAGAACACAACATGCGCCAACCAAATCACTCTTGATGGAGATTCTTTGGAGGACGTTAACACATTTACACATCTGGGCAGCATCATGGACAACCAAGGTGGATCCGATGCAGATGTGATGTCGCGGATCGGTAATTCAAGGGCTGCATTTCTACAATTGAAAAATGTCTGGAACTCCAAACAAATATCAATCAACACCGAAATCAGAATTTTCAATACAAATGTCGAGACGGTTCTACTGTATGGAGCGGAAACTTGGAGAACTACGAAAGGCATCATACAGAAGATAATAGTATTTATGAACAGTTGTCTTCGCAAAATACTTCGGATTCGTTGGTCAGACACCATTAGCAACTTACTGTGGGAGAGGACAGACCAGATTCCAGTGGAGGACGAAATCAGGATATGGTGGACGTGGATAGTACACACACTACGAAGTCACAAAACAAGCCCTCACATGGAACCCTCAAGGTAAAAAGAAAAGGGGAAGGCCAAGGAACGCTGAGAAATAGAGATAGACATTAGAAGAATGAACAAAAACTGGAAAGAACTAGAAAGGGAAGCCCAGGACAGAGTTGGTTGGAAAAAACTGGTGAGCGCCCTGTGCTACACTAGGGGTAACAGGCGCAAGTAAGTGAGTAAGCATTCGTCAAATTGCGGAATATCACCTCATAAATGAACTTCTTTTTACAGCTCATGTTATTTATTTCATAAAGTTACTCAAATTTAACCTAGAACTAGTACCCTTGCTGAAATGGTTGTTATAAACCTAATTTTTGAACACTTTTGTCAATTAGTGTAACGTTTTACTATCTCATTCAATGTGCACAAACTCTATATTGACTGGGCGATCATATATAACTGGCTACCCTTATTACTGCTGACGATTCTAATAGATTTCTCATGTATGTTTTCTAATTTAAGAGATCATGTTGACTTTCTCATGATATGATTATTCTTCGCGTACATTATCTTCAGATAAACACATCATTTTTCCCTAGGGCTTGCTGTAGAATCTATTTTGAAGGTTTTTTGTTTGGAAAATCCCTCCAAGTATATATATTTGTGTTATGATATGACTGACTCTTCTGTTTGATATTTTGGTACTCTATTTGATTCCATTTTGAGATTTTATCATTTTTATATTGTTATTATTTCTATATCTTGTGCTTATATCGAAGTTTCTATGTTTCCTTCTGAACTCTACATATGTTGTTTAAATTTGATATTCAATATGGCTACAGGCACATTTGGATTTGATACTCTAGCAGTAACGGACTGGAAGCACTTATTCTTCCAGCAACGGAACCTATTGTGGTAATTGGAAACTCGAAGGTGTAATATTGTTTTTGAACCGTTTTCTCCCAGAATTATCGTGTTTTTGGACCTTGATTGGGTGAACGCGTATGAACCTACACTATTCGAGTTAAAGTCGAACTGCAAGGGTAAAAATAATTCAGTAGATGGGACAACCGACTAAGCAATTCTATCGTTAGGAAACGAGTTCTAGGTAAGGATGGCAGGTCAATTGCCAAAGTATTGAAACTCCATCAGTTTAGGTGGTTGGGATATGTGTTACGTATGCCCAACCAACGACTGCCTCGACGGGCTATGTTTTGTGGTGTAGGAGTAGGTTGGAAGAAAGTTAGGGGCGGTCAGACCAAAACATTGCAGAAATCCATGAAGTCACTGACAAGTGGACTGAGGCATGTTGGTAGATGTAGGCTATCTGGTTGGGGTCTGCGAGACGAAAGTCACCAATGGTTAGAGACATTGAACGACATGGCTCAGAATCGTTTGCAATGGCACAGGTGCATCCACTCTTTGTGTGCTTTTTAACTCTAACGTTCTGAATTCCTCATAATCTCTATCTTTCTCCTTCTAAATTTATCTCACTGAATTATACTTTTCGAATCATATCTTCTCTCCCTAATCTTCTCCATTACTGCTAACAATTATACTATCACTATCACTCTTGGATTTGAACTGACAATTACGTCTCTGTGCTGACGTGGTATAGCAATGTGAACTGATGTACTTATGTACGAAGTACTGCGTTGTATCTGTTTGTCTGTCTGTCATCATGTTGATGGCCCAGCCAGACATCACAATACACTGGATTAAGTTATCACCAGAAAAATAATCCCCAGTACCGTATATGCTGGAAAAATTTCCCCGGTAGCGATTATTATATTTTCATTCGCAGAATAGACAATATGCTTGTTCAAAGACCAACAATGGCTCGGCACATACGTTTCTGGATAAAACAAAGGTATGTTTACCAAGACATTTTTTCATTAGAACACTAACTGTACACCTGCATTTATGTAGGTTAATGAAATAATCCAGTAGTAAGATAACGAATGGACAAATAATCATATGAATAGAGGAAATTCAGAATAACCGAATTGTTAGCAGTAATGTTGATTTACAGAATATGATAATGAGGCTCATTGATCTTATGCTCTTATTTTATTTATTTGTTTTATTTTTAACGCTGTGGCTCAAGAAGTTATGAATCAGCTCTTTTTATGCATAATTGTCCAGATCTGCTTGTAATAGGATTTCTTGGTAGGATTATCGCAAGAATGATGGGTCAAGCTTCGAAAACTGCTTCGGTCTAAAATAATCCGTCGGCCAATGACAGTCAAGGATCTTCTGAGTGGGAAATTTGAGCTGAAGGTCAGCTGAGAGACTTGTCCGCGAAAACATGAGAAATCCAAACTTAGTACCTTTGTGAAGTGAGTTCTGGAGATCTAGCGTCCCCATGAGAGCTAGGAGAGACAGAGTATTACGACAAGTTTAGCCTAAAACAGAGCTTAGACTAAAACATTTATCAAAACATACCACAAACGTAAGGATGGGGGTGGGCGTGTTTCACTTGGAATCATGATGGTGGGGCGATAACGTTGAACCACTTATGTATGTGGAGCAGAAACTTTTGTTTGCCTATGGCTCACTATGATCTAAAAGGATGTATCTAACCAATGAAATTGATGGTAACTTACTATGTCAATCACTTCTGTAACTCATATACGTAACCTTGAACTGGTTTCACTTCCAACCGAGAGACCCTGTTACGATCTAATCCAGGCAACCATGTTGAAAACTTCTTGAGCAACGATATTAAAAATAAAAAAATACAATGCACGAAATGTCGTCAAAGCATTAAATTAGAGTACCTTCCTCATTACACTTTGTAAGCCGACAAAATTTCAAAAAACTTAGTTCCTTGTATCTCGTTCAATAATAAGATCATTTTTACACTCTTTATCTTATTAGTCAATTATAAAAGGCTAGCTAAACACTAAGTGTTTAAGATATCATGCGTTTATTACATATAGAAGAGTGAATAAAGTGAAGTACATGTTCTGCAGATAATTCTATGTCTTAAATGTTGGACACGATATTATCAGAGAATAAAAATTGTTCTACTCAGAAGCCTATCAATTTAAATATAGATTGTAAACATAAGTTTCTCTATGTAGTGACATTCAGCATTTTAAGCAACGATAAGTATGGTTATATTGCTGTATGAAGTCACTAAAAGATCAAAATGTAATCTCGGGGCTAGGGTTAGAATGTTATGATTACTTCACTTACCCAGTTTAGACTTTATATCTTGTTTAAATATTCCAGGGTTATCCACCAATCTCGCAGCGGTCATTTCAACTGCCGGGTCCCAATGTCGTTCTCTCCAGGTGACGTTGAAAAAGGGAAGAGACTATTTGTACAAAAGTGTGCACAGTGTCACAACGTTGAAAAAGGCAAACCGCACAAAGTAGGACCCAACTTGCATGGTTTGTTCGGCCGCAAAACTGGTCAAGCTGCAGGTTATGCCTACACGGCTGCCAACCAAAACAAGGGTACTCTTTAAAACTTTACCTTTTCAGTTAGTTTTTGCTGTACCTTATTTAAATGGTTAGGGAAAACGTGTGGCTATGTTAATTATCAGGAATCGTAGTGCACACGCATTACAGAAGTAATTAGACCGATGTCTCGACACAACTTTCAATTCATAATACTTTGGAAATTTGTCAGCGATACAGAAATATATAATATGCTTTCAGTATAGTGGCGAAAATTTGCAAAACATCAGTCTATGAACTTGGAAAAATGGATTTCTTTCGTTGGAATATATTTGCCTGAAATCTTGAAATTCTTGGTGTTTGGCTCTCACTTCTTGACTGCAAGTGAAACCGTAGCATCATAGCCCTGCGTATGCCCTCATACATTTATTCATACTGTGGCGATTTGGAACGGTGCATTCCAATGATGGGTTTTCTCTCTTGAATATGACTGTTCCTTAGAAATAGGTCGATAACACTGCGTTGTAGATTAAATGGGTCGTCCCTGGGCAAACATCTTAAGGTCCGATGTAGTTAACATGTGTCCTCGGGCCAACTTTATTTAGTAGCTATTCATTTCCTAGAACCAGAATTACTGGTTGTTTCACTGTAGTTCTTATGTCGCATGTCTAATAGTGTTGCGATTTTTCGTGACATTTCCCATAATTTTATTCTAGTTCGGACATCATTTGTAGTGCATACTCTTCGCGACTTCACGATCTAATTAATTCATTGTACGAGGTTTATATTTGACTGCTCCATGCATCACCCCCGCAGCACCATTCGGCGACTGTTAGAAATGCTTTTTGATGAACAAGCGATTCCAAATTATCGGTAATTTATCATGTCCTTCTATTCCCTATGATTAAACTCGCTAAGCTCGACCAAAGTTCAGCTTAATGTATGAAGCACACCATTCTATAAAATAAATCTACAATGGCTTAAGCAGATGTTTTACATATCCCGTTTACTATATATCTTGGTGATTGATAAACAGGATGTCGAATCTTGCACTCATATCCACTGCTTCACATTGTAAAGTATCATGAGTCAGTAAAAATATGGAGAACGTAACTTAAGTTCAGAAAAAAGAGTACGTATTGGATGCATATATGTCTAAAACTAAAAAACATGTGACTTCATGTATCTCTAATACTTTGAGTCATAATATCGATTTCCCATTCTTCGGTGACGGTATTATTGTGAGTATTTGCCTAGAAAACGAGCACTTCATTACGACTCGTAGTAACCAATTCGTTATACCGGGCTAGATTGTGTATATAAATGCAGATTGGATCGAAAGATCTACAAAGTTGTTTACTAGTGATAACAAACCATTGTATACGACGGTGATCCTCTGTTCACAAACAAAAGATGAACACATGTTGTCAGTATCCAAAGGTTAACAGTGTAATGTTAATTACAAATAACACAATTTTCATATGTTTATCGAGTCACACTTGTCTACCGATAATACTGGTTTTGTGAACCGTCAGTAGAATTACTGATTAGTTTAATGCTTAGTCACTGGTTTTAGTTGAATATTTAAAATGAAAACGTGCTTATGATTTCTTTGCATCACGTACTGCTAGTTATTTACCATTTGAATATTAATTCTTTCATTATCGCTTAGGTATCACATGGAATGAGAACACTCTATCTGAATACTTGGAAAATCCGAAAAAGTACATACCTGGTACAAAAATGGTCTTCGCTGGTTTAAAGAAGGACAGTGACCGCAATGATATCATTTCCTACCTTAAAGAAGCAGCAAAATAGGAATATTCCGTTTGTTTCTAAATTTTTGGTTTCTAGATTTGATTTCTTTGTAGCTGTTCTGTTATAAACTGTGTAAAATTCCAAAACCTTAGACTCTAAGTTCATGGAAATAAACACATTGACGATTTTTTATAACTTCTTGAATAGTATTATTTCATTTACGATAACCTGTCTCCTAAGAAAATCTTCGAGTTCATACAGATTTCAGACTACTAACGTATCTCCACTAGTCACAACTGAAAACAGTCAGATTTGTACGAGGATTTCCAGGCATGCTTCTGTGTTTTACGGAAAATGTTCATTGGTTAAGGAGCGATTTTTTTTGAGTGTAAACTAAATGGAGAAGTCCTGCCCGAACGTATATCCCGTCCTAACAGAGCGGTCCTGGAAAGTATACTCATTAGTTTATTGAAGCAGTCAGCGAACTCCAAAGATGATTACGGAGTAAACCTCTTATTTTCTAAGCTTGTTTACAGACGATTATTTAAGCAGATATATATATATATTGAAGTCGAAATCCGATAAAATTATTACGGTACACGTAGACCTGGATTTTCAACCTATCGTTTGTCACTTGCATCGGTACCTGAACAAGTGATAGGGAGTGAAGTAGTTAAGCGTGTCGACTGCTTCACATATCTCGGGAGTCTCATTATTGCTGATGGCCTGGTGTGGGACGAAATCTCAGCACGGATACAGAATGCTCGATCGGCTTTCGCCAACCTACGTCACTTTTGGCGTGGGCGAGATATCCATTTGCTAACCAAAGGACGAGTGTACTACATAGTAGTCCGTTCCGTTCTACTATATGGGTGTGAAACATGGCCAGTCAGAGTAGAAGATATTCGTAGGTTACTGGTATTCGATCATAGGTGTCTTCGAAGCATTTCTCGTGTATCCTGGGACCACAGAATAAGCAATGCTGTTATTATGAAGGAGTATTAGGTAAGGGCGGTAGGTCAGTTGGTGCTGTCTGGTGTAGGAGTAGGTTGGAAGAAAGCTAGAGTAGGTACAAATCCGTGAAGTCACTGACAAGTGGGGTGAGTTATGGTAACAAGTGTAGACTACCAGTTGGGGTTGGCTTGATGATCGTAACCTAAGGTTAGAGACTTAATGACATGGCTCGAGATCGCTTGCAATGTCGCAGGTGCATCGATTGTTTGTCTTCTCTCAAATTATAATCTGAATTCCTCATAACCCTTTTTCTCTCTTTTAATTTATCTCACTGGGTTGACACCACCTGGCGCCCCTCCGGAGCCACTGCCCGTCAAAAGCCCGGATAAAAGAGGAGGCTTGGGGTTAAAGACCCCATCCCGTAGAAAACTAAGTCGCTAGAAAAGCGCAGCAGGCTTCATTTGCTAGAACTCTGGAATTCTATGCAATCGATGTAAGTTGCATCTCCGAAACACGATTCGAGTAAAATCATCGATTTGAATTCATCCTGTGCAGAGAGAAACAAAACACGGTTTACGCTTCGTGTTTCTGAAAGCCCTGATGCTGCTTCCCGTGGCCTCGCTGGTGTCGGTATAGCATTGAGTCCTAGGGCAGAACTAGCTCTCTTAGACTGGATCCGGGTAGGCAATCGCTTATGCGCTTTCCGACTAAATGGGACAGTAAGGACTCGGAAAGATAGGGACACTGACCGTTGCCTCTTCGTCATATCTGCCTACGCCACCACTGACTGCAGTCCAGACGACATGAAATGTAGGTTTTATAGAAACCTCTCTAAACTTCTCCGAAATGTTAAGCACTCTGTTACAATAGTAATGGCTGGTGACTTCGATGCTCAAGTAGGTAGACTAAGTGAGAAAGAAAGACACCTCTGTGCATCTTATGGTTTCGCGGCTGACGGGACAGATAATGGCGACCGTCTGCTGCACCTATGTCCAGATAGCCGCCTATTTCCAGCAAACACTAACGTTAAGCATAAGGAAGAGCATCTCTTGACGTGGTGACCCCAAAGTTGTCACAACACTGGAGCCAACTAGATCACATCGATATCAGCCACCGATGAAGGGGTTCGATAGAGGACTGTCGCTCGTTCTGCTGCACATGTTTAGACTCAGATCATGCTCTAGTGCGAGTGCGTATTTGTTTGCGATTTACCGGACGTAAGAAAACCTCTTAGCCTTCTACCTTATGATAGCATAGCAAAGAATATATTTAAGGAACAATTAGAAAAATATTTAAGCGACGTTGTAAGTGATTGTCATCCGGGAGCAGCCTGGAATGATATTAAAAAAGCTGTGGGAACATCAGTGATATCTGCTTGCAAGGTTAACTATAAGGCTAGCAAGAAGCCGTGGATCTCAGTAGCATCTAACGAACTGATAGACACTTGTAAACTCATCCCAACTGGCTCTGAGTACGATAAGGAGCGGAGTCAGCCTAAGCGCAGGCTGATTAAAGCCTACGCCATGATAGCGAACAGTGGTGAGTAGTGAAAGCAAGAGAGATGGAAAAAGCAGCGGCGATAAGCTACAGTAGGTAACTATTCAGACTTATCAGCGAAACCGGTAGTAGGAATCCGACTGTAAGTGAGACAATCTCGGTAAAAGATGTTCTTATTATTCGTTTTCAATCCAAGAGATCGAATCGATGAACAGAATACTTTAGGGATCAGTTCTGCTGGCCTTCAGCCACACTTCGGTCGCTCACGATCTCCAGTCATCCTGAATGGCAAATCCACGTAAGTCGTCTGACTACAAAATTGAGAAAGCCATAGGAAATCTGAAGCAAGGAGGGGCAGCTGGTCCTGACGGGCTAACTCCTGAGTGTTTTGGGGATGGTGGTCCAGTTTTAACAGTAAGGTGGACCGAGATCTTAGGCAGAAGTTGAGAACTAGGCGTAATCCCGTTTCACTGGTCTCAATCCCTGATTGTCCGAATTTATAAGAAAGGACAGTCAAAGGGGAATAAGCCTAACTAATATAGTATCTAAAATATTGGCCTAAATAATACTCCGACGCCTAACGGAAGCTTGTGAAGAGCAGACTAGAGAAAACCAGGCTGGTTCTCGACCTGGATGTGGATGTATCAATCAAATATTCACCCTACGTCATGTCCTAGGAAATAGACACACGTTCAGACGTCCCACAATAGAAGTATTTCTCGAGCTTAAAGCGACATTCAACTCTGTAGATCGTGAGGTCCTATGGCAGTGTTTCTCACTGAAAGGAGTACTACAGAATTACATCAACCTTATACAGGCTCTCCACTCGAACACCACTGGTTGAGTCAGAGCTTATGGCGAACTGTCATTGGAATTCTCTATTTCAAGTGGTGTCCTTCAGAGATGTCTACTCTCCCTATTATTGTCTAACGTTGTCGTAGATATGCTGCTTGAGTTAACATTATCAGCGTCTGAATTTTCAAGAGTGGACCTTCTACCAGGAGACACGCTTGTTGACCTAGAGTATGCTGATGACATAGTTCTGTTCGATGAACACGCTGACAAAATGCAGCAGAGTCTTCTGACTACCCTAAGCAACAATGCAAGCATGTTCGGGATGCGGTTCACCCACTCCAAATGCAAAATGTTGTTTCAGGATTGACTTGTATCCACATCTGAACTAGTGATTGGGAGTGAAGCAGTTGAGCGTGTTGACCAGCTCACCAATCTGGGAAAACTCATCAATACTGATGGCCTGGTGACTGACGAAATCTCAGAACGGATACAGAATGCTCGATCGGCTTTCGCCAACCTACGTCACTTTTGGCGTGGGCGAGATATCCGTTTGCTAACCAAAGGACGAGTGTACTACACAGTAGTCCGCTTCGTTCTACTATACGGTTATGAAACATGGCCGGTAAGAGTAGAAGACATTCGTAGGTTATTAGTATTCGATTGCAGATGTCCCCGAAGCATTGCTCATATATCCTGGGACAGCCGAGGTGGTTGGGACGTGTTACGAATGCCCAACCACCGACTGCCTCGACGAGCTATGTTTTGTGGTTTAGGAGTAGGCTGGAAGAAAGCTTGGGTCGGCCAAACGAACACATGGCAGAAATCCATGAAGTCACTGACAAGTGGAATGAGCAATGTTAGTAGATGTAGGCTACCTGGTTGGGGTCCGTGAGACGAAAGTCATCGATGGTTAGAGACCTTGAACGATATGGCTCGAAATCGTTTGCAGTGGTGCTGGTGTTTTCACTGTTTGTGTTTTATGAAATTCTAATCTGAATTCGTCATTACCTCTACCTTTCTCTTTCTAAACTTATTCAATTATACTTATTGAATAATATCTTCCATCCTTAAAATTCTCTATTACCTCCAATTCTTGTTCTGTCTCCACCACTAATACTTCTACTATATCTACCACTATGGGATTTGAACTGACAGTTGCGTCTCTCTGGTAATGCGTTTTGTTAACCTGTACACATTTACGTACATACGAAGTCCGACGTTGTAAATGACTGACTGCAAGGAAGCACAATATCCTATTCTGAACTATGGACAACGTATCATTGGTATTTTAATAACTGACTAAAGAGTCAGAGATAATGCACAATAGATTTTCAATGAATCACGTTTTGTCCCTAGTATTTAGCGGACCAAAACAGTGCACTTTTGTGCTCTAAAAACTGTGAGAGGTTCAAAAGGCTCTCCACAAACGATGGTTAGAAAATACTTATGTTTTGTTTTTGAAATTTTTTTATAGTTAATAAATCCTATTCCCGTGACATCACATTTGTAGACTTACATGTTAGTATTATGTACGTATTTACATTAACATGTTGAGATGAGAAACTGATGTGAATTCGGAGTAAATCATATGCTACTCAAACTTGTAACTACTGTACCTTAGTCATGGGTTCTTCATACTTTTTGTAGAACATATATAAAACGGTTGGCAGTGGATTTCGTTCTCCATCTGAATGTATCTACATTCGAGTCTTGGTATTCACACTGGGACATTAGCCTAGTTATAGTACCTTTTACTTCAAAAGTTGGGATACAATCGCTAAATAGAGGCAATTTGCATTGGATGCACATTTATCAACTAAGAGACTAATCAAAATTCAGCCCAAAATGTTAACAACCTGATATAATTCAAAACCAGTACAAGTTAAGTTAATGGCTAAAGGTCAATCTTCCTACAAGCACACGTCACGTGATATGAGTGAGTATCTACACTATGATTAGTGAATTGATTCTCTCCAT